GGTCCATTTACCTGTATTAGCTTACTGGCAGAGATGCCACATTCAATATGGCGGAAGCTGTTACGTATCGCAGCAACGGGCCGACCCGCCCCATGACCTATGACCCGCCCCATGACCTATGACCCGCTCCTGTCTCCATCTCTCTGATGGACGTGTCTGTCTCTGTGTCTCCGTCTGTCCTCCAGGTGAACCTGGGTGGACATCAGTTCCTGTTCTCTGTGGACGTGGACCCATCTCAGATGCCGTGTCTCTGTCTGCGTCACGATGTGGACGCCCTGGTGTGGCAGCCGCGTCCGGACCGACCCGGCGACCTCTGGGAGCACGTCGCCACCTTCAACGCCCTGGGTGAGGAACTGAGGTTCTGCTGCAGATCTGAGAGACGTTTCAGAAAAGCTTCACTGCTTCTCTGACTAATGAAGCTCTGGCTGCAGAAACTTGGACTAGACCTCTGGGAACAGGAGAACCTGGGAGAAATGCCTCAGATGTTCTGGGTTTGCTTTTTATACCAGTTTCTTGGAGTTCTGGTCCGTTTGTCCTGGATGAACCGGGTCGGGTTTCAGGCTCTTATGCCAGATGTTTGTATTGGGCGAAGTGCACCGGTCCCTCCTGCAGCGCCTACTGGTGTCTCAGCTGGTTGGGATTTTTTATGACATCACAGCAGGAAGTAGCAAACAGGAAGCAGGAAGTGTTCCTAACAGAAAGCACGGATTGGTCTGGGTTGATGTAAACATGTGAACTAAAGCAGATTAAATATATTTTAAATTTTTTCTCTGAGCGTTAAAAACTTTAAAATCAGAGCAAACGTCATCAATAATCAGCTGATGATCCAACGATCAGAGCTGATCACAGCAAGCTGCAGGAGGACGTCTCTGTCCCCTCTCATCGTCTCTGTCCCCTCTCATCGTCTCTGTCCCCTCAGGTTACGTCCAGGCGTCAAAGCGGGACAGGAAGTTCTCCACCTGCGCTCCAGATTTCTCCTTCGCCGCGCTGTGTGAGTGTCTGCGCCGCGTCTTCCTCTACCGCCAGCCGTCTCCCGTGGAAACCGTCCTGTTCAACAGGAAGCAGGGCCGCCAGGTGGGACAGGTTGCCAAGCAACAGGTGTCCAGCCTGGACTCGGACAAGCCGGTCCTGGGCTTCAGAGCGTCCAACGAGAGACTGTTTGTCCTCACCTTGTCCCACCTGTTTGTCCTGAAGGTCGATAATAAGTGAAGAAACCAGAAGGAAACTTTTGATTCAATAAAATGAAAATAAATAATCAGAATTTTTCTCTGGATTCAAATAAACAGGATTTATTAAACCGGTCTAACACACACACACACACACACCTAACACACACACACACCTAACACACACACACACACCTAACACACACACACACACCTAACACACACACACACACACACACACCTACACCTAACACACACACCTAACACACACACCTAACACACACAGGCCTAATGTTTCTGCCTGCATATAATTTTTTGGAAGTTTGGGTCCGAGTTCAAAAACTCACTAAACTTTGCCCAAAATTGTCCGCAGCATGAAGCGCCACCCCCCCGACAAGCTGCCGCCCTGGGCAGTTGCCCATGTTGCCCCTAATCAGAAACGGCATTGCTCCGACTGGCTGCTGATAAGTTTCTGAATAATCTGTTTTTCTTTTAAATGTATTTTAAATAAAAACAATCTTTTTTACCAATTCCTGATTAATAACCGGTTATTAATAACCGGTTCCTGATTAATAACTGGTCTCTCCTGGAAAGCTGTGCTGGTGGCTCTTTGCTCAGGAGAGAAGCGATTCCCTGCAGCTCTCGCTTTTATTCAGTAAAATCAGTTCAGTGTGAGAATGATTTAGTTTAAAGCCACAGAATCGTCTTCGGCTAAAATCATCACCGCTTCAGGAATCGGTCCTGACAGAATATAATCATAATGTCAGATGGTTGCCGTAATTATGCTGGTTGCCATGGCGACTGCCTCCTTTTCTGCCCAGCGTTTTGCAGCCTTTGTAAACTTTTTATTTTCTTCTCCATGAGAGATAATTACTGGACCTGCCGGGCCACCGTACTCCACCGCAGCAGAGCCGTAATTACTGCGCCGCTCCGCTTTGTTACCTAATGGGTCCGACCCGGTGAAGCAGAACCAGAACGTGGCCATGTTGGAGCTGAGCCTGAAAGTTCCTCATCTCTGCTCCTCCATCCAGAACAGAACCTATCAGAACCATCCTGGACCTGGTTCTGCACCGCGTGAACCGGGTCAGCCTGAAGCTGTTATTTCATGGTTTCATGTTTTCATTGTTTCATGTTTTCATTGTTTCATGTTTTCATAGTTTCATGTTTTCATAGATTCATGTTTTCATTGTTTCAGTTTCATGTTTTCATGGTTTCAGTTTCATAGTTTCATGTTTCATAGTATGTTTTCTTAATTTCATGGATTTATGTTTTCATAGTTTCACAGTTTCATAGTTTCATTGTTTCATGTTTTCATATTTTCATTGTTTCATGTTTTCATAGTTTCATGGTTTCATGTTTTCATTGTTTCATGTTTTCATACTTTCATGTTTTCATAGTTTAATGGTTTCATATTGTCATAGTTTCATGGTTTCAGTTTCATGTTTTCACAGTTTTATGTTTTTAGGGTTTCATGTTTTTATATTTTCATGGTTTCATAGTTTCATAGTTTCATGTTTTCATATTTTCATGGTTTCATCCACCAGAACAAACCAGACACAAACATCCGCGCCTCTCGGTTTGAGTCGGATCTTTGCTGACTCTGACGGATCTTTAAAGGACAGAGATGGAGACGTCTCCAGCCTGCTGCTTTTGGGAATTTAATGAAGAAAAATGACAAAGTCCACTTTCAAAATTAAGAGTCCAGGGAAGAAGAAAAATCCAAAAATAAAACAAAACTGGAGACACGAAGGGGTCAGGTGATCCAGGAGGGATGAAGGTAACGAGACGGACTGCGAGTTGTGACTGAGACAGAGGACCTTAAATACTGGGAAGGTGTAAAAAACACCTGGGCTGGTGACTGACTACAGGTGAGAGCAGCTAGAGGCTGGGGACAGAAGTGACACAGGAGAGCAATGGAAAGAATACAGGGGAACCGGAAATGATACTGACACTAGAGAAAAAACTTGGTCAACTAGGTCAACAGAAAAATATCTAAAAACAAGAAACATAACTAATATTGCCATGGAAGAAACAGAAGTGGAAAACAGGGCAACATAAATAGAAAAACCAAACTCAAACATCCTCAGATCTCAATAAGAAAAACCCTCAGAACCTTTCAAAATAAAATCCGGTTTATTCAGTAACGGGTAATTTGGACCCAGATTCTGGGCAGAACCAGTTATTTCTTGTGAAGAGAGGTGGATACTTCCTATAACTTCTGGTTCCTGCAGATTTCTGTTTCTGGAGGAGAATGGGTCGGCCTTCACATAGGACAGAGGTGCACTCTTATTTTATTCACAAGAGCTTTATTTTGAAAGTCAAAAGTAGAAACTCTTCCTGTTCTTGTTTTCGGTCTGCCTGACTGACGATCCAGAACTTTCCGAGCATCTGTCCGTGTTAGAGAGTGTTTGGTTATTCGGCTTGTTGGATGTTTTTGTTGGCTAACTATCTAAAAACATAAATAAAATCACCATTTGGACCAAAATGTGAAATTCTTCAAAAGAAAGTTGCCTTGTTGCTCTATTAGTTAGTTAGCTGGCTAGCTCGTTGGTTAACGTGGTTGCCAGCTAGGTAGCTAGCATTAGCTGATTTGAAATATAATTTTTTTTTTTCATTTAATTACTGGGAGCTGAACCGGACCTTTTGGTTCTGTGTCTTGCAGCCTGAACTAGACATGTTACTGGTTTATTCTGACGTTCCCTTGATCTGTGCCAGGCTGGGATTGGGTTAAAATCTGGGAAGGAAGTCAGGAATAATCCGGTTTTCTGTCCGTTCTCTTCGTCACGTGTTCCTCCAAACCACTTCCTGACTGGAGTTTTCTGGGAACGGGAAATAAAAATGAAGATGAAGAAAGAAGCTTAATAATAGAAACAATAAATCTGCCTTCAAAAACTTTATTTCAAGTATGAAGATGAAATGTACAAAATACTTTAGGTCCAATCCATCATTACAATATGAGAAGAAAAGCAGAATTTTACAAAATCAAGACACAAAGCAACGTTTCTAAATCTATGATAATAATGATAATGAAAAGCAGCTTCAGAAATACAAATAATTCCTATAATCGCAGTAAATACTTAAACACTGGTACAGCTTGGTAAACACCAGCTGGTTCCGCCCCTGCTGTGACCGACCATGAAACCCATCCAAAACGTGGAGAACTAGATCTCCTGATGAAGTCCCTGGACGCCAGAGGGGGTTCCTGTTGGGTCAGAGTTGGTTCCTGGAGGTCAAAGTTGGTTCCTGTTGGGTCAGAGTTGGTTCCTGTCGGGTCAGAGGGGATTCCTGTCGGGTCAGAGGGGGTTCCTGTCGGGTCAGAGAGGGATCGGAGGGGGTTCCTTTGGACCCCCAGCTGCTGGATGTCCGGCTCCTCTGAATGGTGCTGACCTTTGTGGGTTTTGGTTGCGTGGCTCAAGCTGTGGTGCCGCTGCTTTCCTGCAGCCTGCTGGTGAAAACGAAGTTGTCACCTGCCGGATCCTTGTTTTTATGGGATGCCGTGTGAAGGCGTGAGCGTGACTTGCTGCTGTCTCAGCTGCAGAGATCATAAATGTGAGAGCTGGACATATTTGCAGTGGGGAAGGTGTTTTTACTCCCAGTCTGGCCATGTTGACTCAAACACCTTGCCTGGGCCGGTCTCAGATATGATGATAACAGCTGCGTAATGACAGCGCTTATCTGTCGGGTTGTTTGTGGCTTTACGACGTCTGCCATCACTCTCGGCTAACAGCATGTTTGGCTTTGAGCCTCAGAGGCTCTCATTGCGCTCCACTGGCTGTGATCTGTGTTTACATCTCTACCTGCAGCAGCCTGGCTTTAAAAAGGTCAGCAGGCACTCAGGAAACAATATTCCCACTTAAGGGAGTCCATTAGGCAACACTTTGGAGGTCTTTAGTCCTCAGGAGACTCACCAGTCGCCTCGCTGGCCTCCAACCAGTCATGACTGAAGTTCACCTTTGCACAGCCACATGAGTCGGAGAACGTGACCTTCTGGTCTGCCAGCAGCTCGTCTGTGACCGTGAGCTCCTCCAGCTCTGTGGTGTAGTGATCTGTGCTTTCCACCAGCGAAGTGTCCTTGACGGCACTGTAGGTGAGCGCCACGCTGTACGCCGCTGGTTTGTCTGAGCCCTTCGCCCCGCAGCGGCAGATCTTACGGAAAGCGGCGCGGAACTTCTGAGACATGGCATTGTAGATGACCGGGTTGATGGCGCTGTTCAGGTAGATGCAGATCTTGCAGAAAAGGAGGAACCAGTTGTCCAGGTAGGGCTGGTCCAGGAAGGAGTTGACCACCACCAGGGTGCGGTATGGCATCCAGAGCACGGCGAAAAGGATCACCACCACCGCCAGCATCTTTGTCACCTGCAGCCAGCCATGAGACGATAGAAGGACAGAGTGGCTCAAATGACCCAGGTTTAAAAAAAAACAAAAAAAACCCGCTAACCATTGAAAATTTAGTTTTGCGTTAATGTGCGAATATTTATCACATATTAATATTTTTGTGTCAAATCATACATAATTGGACCCATAGAAATCGTATTCACTGATAATTTTTTTTTTCAAGATGGCTGCCACGATTGTCATTGCTCTAAAATCACCAGATGAATTGGTGCTTGGTGTTAAGTCATAGTCTACATATTTTGAACCATAGAAATGATTTTTTTAAATCTTGTGTTTCCTTTTTCTGGTGGGCGTCACATTTTTCAAAATGGCCGGGATAGTTGTAATGGAGAATATATGTTGGCACTGACACTGTGGTTAACCATGGCTAACCACAAAGTTAATTAAGAGTCTTAGCTAAGCTAATCCTAAGCCACTGAACACACACACACACAAAAACAGGAAGCTAATGCCAAACTGTTAAACATATAAAATATTAGAGGAACCATTAAGATGCCTGTCATCTTCTTCTCCTTCCAGGTGACGCCAGTCTGACACATGCTAATAGAAAAGTCCTCACTTTCTGATTCTGCTGTCCATCTTGGTCCATTGTCTCCACTTTGGGCTCATCTGTTCAGAGTGCCGCCATCTTGTTTCTAGAGAGGCTTTTTCTTTCAGTCCTTCCTAACGGCAGTTTGATTCTCTTCATTCTGATGTAGTTTCAGTTCATGTGAAGCAAACAGAGCAACTGGTTGGACCCCAGCAGCTGATTGGTCCCTAGCAGCTGGTTGGTCCATAGAAGCTGATTGGACCCAAACCTTCTCTGGGGACCAGAGCCTTCAGTCAGATGTGAGTCCATCTGTCCTTCAGCTGAGGCTGGGTCCAAACTGGGTCATCAGCAGGATTATAATCCCAAACTCAGAAGCTAATCTGCAACAGAATGGCTGATAAAGAAAAGAATCAAAGTGCTGCCATGGCCTAGTCAAAGTGCAGACCTCAGGCAGAAGGTCTGTGTTTCTGAACTGGGATCAGCTGGAATCGTTACGACTGGATTGACCTGATGACGCTTTTCATTTTGTTTTTAAACGCAACATTTACTGAAAATCAGTGAAACAAAACTCAGCTGAACTTTAAGAGTGAACGTTAAACTTCAGGGTTCAGCTGAGGGAAATGACGTCATTTCCTCCCCAGCGGCTTCTCTCAGCTCATTGCTGGTTTTGGGTTAGTCTCTGTTCTCCAGCAGCAAAACCAACAAAACCATTAAAAACATTCATAGAAAATGTACAAAAAGCAGTGGATAAATTTAGACAAATTAATTTCACATTTCTGTTTCATATTCTCCGTCAGTTCAGTCTCTTTTGGACATTTTTATATGAAACCAAGGGATTTTGTGCGTCGCTCACCTGTCTGCGCGACGTCGCGGTGGAGCTGGAGTGTCGCGCGTTCTTGCAGCTGCTGCGCTGGTTGTTGCTGGCGGAGGCCGCCTCGCGCTTCCCCCGGCCTTTGGGGTCAGAGGGCAGCGGGTTGAGGAACAGGATCCTGGCGATCAGGCCGTACAGAACCGCGGACAGCAGCAGCGGCAGCACGAAGAAGACGCTGAAGTCGAAGAAGTAAATGGGCAGGTAGAACTTCCTGGGGACCCTGTAGCCGCACGTGACGACGGTGACGTTGGCGAACACCTGCAGCTCGATGTCGGACAGGTAGAACCACATGACGCAGTAGATGGAGGTGCAGACCCAGACCAGCAGGATGATCCTCTTGGCCCGGGACAGCGTGCACAGGAACTGGGCTTTGATCGGGTGGCAGATGGCGATGTAGCGCTCGATGGTGAAGGCGGTGATGGAGCACGAGGACGCGTTGATGCCCAGGTACTGCAGGTAGGTGATGAGCAGGCAGCCGCAGCGGCCGAACACCCAGGAGGCGAACAGGCTGTCCGGGATGGCGGGCAGCCCGGCGGCCGTCAGGACCATCAGGTCGGCCACCGCCAGGCTCACCAGGTAGCAGTTGGTCGGAGTGCGCATGTGCCGGGTGATGAGCACCACCAGGATCACCATAACGTTCCCCACGATGCCCAGCGCGCAGATGAGGAGCAGCAGCAGGCTGCTCACAACCTTGTACTGGACGCTGTGGTCCGTCCAGGTCCGGTTCTGGTTCTGGTCCAGGTCCCGAGGGGACGAGGAGGAGTTGTCCATCCTTCCTCTGGTTCCCTTCACGCGCCACCGAGGAGCGCAGCAGGACCACCGACCCTGATCAAATCTGAGTGGAGCTGATCACCCGCAGCTTTCCGCAGCCGGTGCGTAAAACGCGGCGCCAGAACCAAGTGTGTGTGGGACAGATGGCGCTTTGGGTTTTGTTCCGTTTGGCACGCGCTCTCCTACGCAGAGCTGGGATTAACCCTTCACCGCCTGCAGTGGAGCGGCTGTCACTCAGTCCGCCTCATCAGTGGACTGAGTGAAAACAGTCGAGTTTCTCTAGCGGTCCAGTCAAATCCAAGCCATAACGCCATAAATACCCTAATTAACGTGTTTAGCAAGCTTTATCTGTTATTTTACAAACAAAAATTCTCTGTAGCCATTTTTCTTCCTGTTTGTTTTTATTTGAACTGAATTTAATCATATTTTGTTGGGTATTTCAGAATCAAAGAGCAGAGCTCTTTGGAATAAAAATGTTTCTGTTAAAAAGCAGCAGAAGACACATTTATCAGATTCACTTTAATTTAGTTTGTTATTGCTTTATGTCACATATCTGCTGTGTTATCCTCTGTGGGTTTAGACCTTATATTTTGTAAACCACTTTGTTCTCTCTGACGTGTAAAAGGTGCAGCATAAATAAAGTTTACTTTCCTGCTCAGGTTTGAACCATAAACTGTTAAAGTTTATGGTTTACGGCCATTTTCTCTAAATTATGTTTAGATAGTTTATCAGATGATAAAATAAATGCTGAATCTTTACGGAGAGAAATTTGTTCCATAGATTCAGTGTAAATAAACTTCAGAGGCGAATGAACGATCAGAAAAAGAACTTCGTATCTTCGTGTCCAAGCTGACCAATTGTTCCTAACATCTGATCAGATGGCTGTTTAAGTTAAGCTGTTGCAAACATTCATTTAACTCAAAATGTATAATTTGATTGAGTTTTTCAAAGATTCATTTTTGAAATGCATTTTTAAACAGGTTCTTTGCTGGCAATAATATTGGAACAAATTTATCTCCATATTTCTTTATCAGAGAACTGAACCTTGAGTCAGACAATATTTTTTTTTACTAATTAAAGTTTCTGTTCTCCATCTTCATCTTCATCTTCATCATGGTGGTTCAACCTGCTGTGCTGTGAAGGTTAAAGTTCAGGCTGGTTTCCCAGGTGACGCATTTAACTGATTATTATCCGGAATAAAGAGCTGAGAAGAATCGGCCTTCATCACTCCTCTTCCTCCCCACCGAGCTGCGGAGGCGGAAAACTCTCCTCCTCACCAACTGTGCAGAAGATTCTGCAGGAACCGGGCCGAGTTCGGAACACTGGTTCTGCCAACGCTCCGAGTCTCTGGTAACAGGTGGAGGCGGGGCGTTACATAACCACCATCACTCCCACTGCAGAAAGATGAATGAACTGCTTTTGATTTATGCATCATCATCATCATCATCATCATCATCATGTTTCAATACGAATCCATTTTCATCGCAGTTTGATCAACTTTTATTTAAGTTTTGTGATTTGAATCATAATCCTGATCCGTGTTTTCCTGCTCTGATTGTTCCTAAAAAATACATGAACGCATGAAAGAAAAAGTAAACCCGCAGATCGCATAAAGAATAATAAAAAAGAAGACTTATACCGCCACCTAGAGGACGAAGCTGTTCAGCACCAGATGGAAAGAAATGTTTCTGGTTCTAACATTTTAAATACAAATTTTGAAACTTTTTTAAAGCTAAGATCAGAATTATTTGGTTCAAACTGAATCTGCGTTCCCCCCATTTTCCTCATCAACAAAAACTTTAATTAATGCAGATTAAAGGTGAAAGTTAAAGGATTTAAATAATCTGACTGCTCAGCTAATTCATCCGAACCCATCTGAGTAAAAATGATTAAAGAAAATCTACAACCTGTTTATCAGACTGTTCACAGGAAATGGAAACTCAGTTCTAGTGTGTGGAGACTTACAGGGAGCAGTGATGGTTATAAAGTACAAAGTATTTAATGTTATACTGGATAATTCATTAAAGGGTCGATTTTTATAACAATGAAAAGAATAAGAACAAAATATGATAAAAAATCAAAACAATGTGTGGTTGTCACGTGATTGCCAGCTGGCGTCTGTGTTCCGTTTGTCAATACAAAGCCGGTAAAGATGGCGGAATACGATCTAACGACTAAAATAGCTCATTTTCTGGACCGACACCTGGTTTTCCCGCTGCTGGAGTTCCTGTCTGTGAAGGAGGTGAAGCTGTTTATTCATGTGGGAAGCTAATCGCGGATGCTAGCAGGTTTAGCTCAGTCATGCTAGGTGGGCTAAAGGCTAACTGCTAGCATTAGCCGCGGAGCTAACAGGCTGGTTTTACCTCTGAGTTAATGTTCAGCTGAAAAATAAGAGGAAAATGTGTCGGGATGTAGTTTATGACGCTTATTGGTAGCTTCAATCTGTGACGTAATGCTGGTTCAGCCGAGAATGACGGAAAGTTTGAAATCGGCTGATTTCTGAACATTATTCGTTAAATGATTCTGATTATCCGCACTCAACAGTTATTCGGGCTCTTCATTTATTTATTTTTTTAATAGATCTTTATTGAGATACAGAATACATAACAGTCAGCATACATTGTGGTATAATGTTCGCCAGGGGGTTGCATCGAGACAGTATATCACCATAACATAAACACATTAAAGAGAAAACATAAAGAGCATGTTTTAATAGCTTTGGTATTGGTGGAATTTTCAATAGTTCTGATATATTGTTTGACCTCATTTATAAAAATGGAAAGAGGTGGTTTTTGATTAACGTAACGGCATTTGTGAATGTGCCGTTTGGCTAAGAATATAAGATTAATAATATAAAAATGTTGGGGTTTTTTTTGTTATTGGGTAGTCAGTGAGGCCAAACAATACATGTTCAAGACAAAGGGAGAAGTATGGTTCAATGGAAGTACAAATCAAAGTTCAAATATTTTCCCAAAATTTAACAGAAAAGGGGCAAGACTAAAATAAATGAAACACATCTTCTGGATTTCCTTCACAAAAGAGCAGATAATATCTATATTATTGTTAAAACGTTGTAGAAATATTTTGGATGGGTAAATTCTGTGAATAAATTTAAGAACACTTCTTTCACTTTATTAGTTCAGTGAATCTTGAGAATAGGGACAAAACAGGTCCTGTGGATAAAGCAAAAAATTTGAATAAAATATACACAAAATATATTTTTTTCAAATATCTGACTGACTAAACTAGTCTGGGTCATATGAGCACAACAATGTATGTTTTCCTGGTATTTGCTGAATATTTTTTTATTTTAAACATTGTAGTTGGT